AAAAAAAAATATCACATGCCACCCAATATGGCGAAGGGGATATTACCTTGTTAGGATAAGTTCGTTGCCATGTTTCTTTGGGGTGTACGACATCAGTCTAATTACAAATATAGTGCAGGTCACATAACGATGATCATTTTTTATAGTGTACTGTAGATCAGCGTTAATTTAATAGTAACTAGAGATTGCGAATATGGGCGGCTTCGCCGCCCGGGTGACATCGTGGTAGTACAAGATTAGTTTAGGTAGTACAATGTTAGTATAGGTAATACAAGATTAGTATATGTAGTAAGTTTTTCAGTATTCACGTGGTCGAAATTACATGAATTAATTGAAGTATAAAAGAGACGAAATTTTTTTTTATTTCATGTATTTTATAAATAATTAATGATATTAGTAATGAATAAGATAGTACGTAAAAAGAATGATTTGATGTACGTATGTTGTTTTGGTTAATGCAAGGTGAACAGATGTAATTTATTTAGTAATATTAAGAAATTGTTTGTATTTTTTTTAGGTTTAAAATTTTTTTTTGAACATGGTGAGTTTTTTTAATTTGTTATGTTGGTCTGTTTAGTGGTAGAGGTTCTCGAGTTTTTAATTCTAATCATTCATATTCTCTGATCATGGATTGATCTGTGATAAAGGCAGTGTCATTTAATGACTGTATTGTTATGTGGTTCCAATTAGTACAGTGGCTTAGCACTACATAGGCTTGTCCAGGTGTGAATATTTGATCATCCAGATTTAATGATACATCGGGAAGTGTGAGTCCTTGTGTTTTGTAGACTGTCAATGCAAATGCATTTTGTATCGAGAATTGAGTTCGGCTAGCGGGTGTCCCATTTATACTGAAGTTGCTAGTAAATTTGAAGAAAGAAATGTTTATTATAGCTTTTTCGATGCAGAAGCTTACATAGACAAGGTTTGATTGAATATAAAGGTCTGTGATGATGCCTATAGTACCATTTGCTATTCGATGTTGGTGTTGTGAATTAGTTAGAAACATAACTCTTATACCAGGTTGAATTCTGATTGTTTCTGGTAAGTTTGTTTTGTTTTTAAATTCGCAGAGTATTGATTTGTCATTGTATAGTAGGTTATTATTAACGATGTCTATACTGTTGAAAATCATGAATTTGTTTTCTTGAGTAGGAATCATAGTGCACATAAGTCTGTTAATTAGGTTTGTATTTTCTCTGTATCCTACTACAGTTGATATTGTCTAAATGCATACCATCAGTGGATACAAAAAAAAATCAATTTTATGCATTTAAACAGAATTAACAAATCAAATACTAGAAAATTTACTATCTAAATGCATATTACTATTAAATTTTTTTAAAAAATTATGTATTTATATAGTATGCAGTATGTATTTAGACAGTATTAACTGTATATGTGTAGTGTTGAGGGTGGTGTTTAGTTCAGATGATTCGATTGTTTCACAGTTTTTTTGAGATAAAATTTGTCATGTTGTGTTATCGATTCTACCCATTCTTATTTATTCTAAAATATTGTAGAATTGAGTGTCTTGACTTTGTC